CTAGCCTTCTGTAATTAAGAGCAGTAGCCAGTAGACATATTCTCCATTCTTGGCTAATCTCTGACTGACATTTGTCCATTCAAATCAACCGTAACATCTGGCCTTCTGGGCATCTAAATATAATGTAGGCCTAGTCTAATTACCTCTATACTAGACTGGAGTCTAGAAATCTAGTCTTAGTCACTGTAGATTCTACGTCTACATCTCAAGTAGATATTTCAGGATTCCAATTTCTTTATCCTTTTCAACAGATTCCTGAATGCTAACCAGTCTCTTTATTTAACATCGTTAGGCCTTCCTCTGTTAGCTTGTGAAACTAGAATTTTAACTTAGAATGTGGGTGCAAAATGACCTTGAAGTAGTCAGATAGTCTGTCTTTAGTTCTCCATTTTTAGACTAGGTCTGGAGGTCTAGGCTTAGACCTCGACATTAATTCTCTGACTGTATTCTGCCCAATCACGTCATTCTTTCGACTCAAAATACACCCACAAGTGATCATGCTCTATTCATAGACCTCTCTAGTCATATTCTCATTTATCAGACTGGTACTGCACTGGTCCCTTGTTGTTCACGATCACCTTTGACTGGCCAAGAACCCAAGTTCACCTTATTATAGTTTCAACGCTCCTCTCAGCTCCGTTCCGTCCTTTAATATCTCGCAATCTGACACACGTACATCGTCAATCCACGTACCGTACTGTAGAATTGCAATTGCAAGTGTAGAAATCAATTGTCGAATACCAATATAATGTCTCGAAAACTTTAATTTTGAAGCCTTTACTATAACCACATTTCACGTTACTCACGTCGGGTCGATCACAATGTTATTATACAATGATTGCATCCATTCCAATTGTTGTCCAAAACCAAACAAGATCATAAAACGGAAATATGAAGTAGGGAGAAGAGGTTAAAATTCTGTCTTGTTTCCAAGGGTTACTGCCAGTGATTATTCGCGCTTTTCCTCCCCTCAAACTTATTAAATTTTAAAACCGACAAGAGATGGCGCTCTTGCATTAGTTTGGCATCTACACATACCTTTCTTTCCCTCTTTCGCCAAAAAAATTCGCTTCCTCTCGACAAATCGACTTCTGATTTCCATGTAGAGGGACTGTATTACTTGTGGGTCTTGTTTAAGGCCCGGTCACACAGAGGGGACGCATGGGGAACGCACGGCCAGCGCATTGGAAATTTGCAATTTTGGCCAGTGCGTTGTCGTGCGCCCAACTTTTGTCGAAGCTACAGCGAGCTGACACCAAATGCAAAGCGTGTTGCTAGCGCGTTGAGCGCCTACAGGGCGCATACAGTGCGCATACAGACCGTACACAGAGCGCACATGATAACAACTTCCACGAATGCACAGCGTGTTGCTGGCGCTCTGGACGAATGGTCCACGCATGCACCGCGTTCTACGACGCACGGCCAGCGCATTGGAAATCGGAAAAGGCTGTGTGCCTAACTTTTGTCATAATTTTGGAAAAGCTAGCGAGCTGACACAAAATGCACGGCGTGTAGCTAGCGCGCTGTGCGTATACAGGGCGTGTGCTCCGCGTATGTCTGGCGCTGGTCTAGCGCGCTCCACGCATGTCTGGCGTGCCTTTGGCGTGTACATTCATGCGTCGAGGTCCGCGCACACTTTTGAGCATGCTCAAAAAATCCCGACGCACACAGCGAATGACGACGAATGCATAGCGTTGGTCCAGCGTTGGCCCAGCGCGCTCGACGAACGAGTTAAGGCCCGGTCACACAGAGGGGACGCATGGGGAACGCACGGCCAGCGCATTGCAAATGTGCAATTTTGGCCAGTGCGTTGTCGTGCGCCCAACTTTTGTCGAAGCTACAGCTAACTGACACCAAATGCATAGCGTGTTGCTAGCGCGCTGGACGCATACAGGGCGCACACAGGGCGCACACAGGGCGCACACAGAGCGCACATGATAACAACTTCCACGAATGCACAGCGTGTTGCTAGCGCGCTGGACGAATGGTCCACGCATGCACCGCGTTCTACGACGCAGGGCCAGCGCATTGGAAATCGGAAAAGAACGTGTGCCTAACTTTTGTCATAATTTTGGAAAAGCTAGCGAGCTGACACAAAATGCACGGCGTGTAGCTAGCGCGCTGTGCGTATACAGGGCGTGTGCTCCACGCATGTCTGGCGCTGGTCTAGCGCGCTCCACGCATGTCTGGCGTGCCTTTGGCGTGTATATTCATGCGTCGAGCTCGGCGCACGTTTTTGAGCATGCTCAAAAAATCCCGACGCACACAGCGAATGACGACGCATGCATAGCGCTGGTCCAGCGTTGGTCCAGCGCGCTCGACGAACGAGTAACGAATGATGACGCACGCCTAGCGAACGACAACGCACTGGCCCAAATTGCAAATTTCCAATGCGCTGGCCGTGCGTTCCCCATGCGTCCTCCCTGTGTGACCGGGCCTTAACGCACACCTAGCGAACGAAAAGGCACTGACCAAAATTACAATGCGCCGGCCGTGCGTCCCCCATGCGTCCCCTCTGTGTGACCGGGCCTTAAGATGTGAGTTCTCTTGTAGGGGATCAGGGGTTTGTATGATAAAAAGTGTGGGACATGGCGATTGGGTGGAAGCTCTGGTTGAGCCGGCGGCTTGGCCGTATGTGATGGGGTCCAACATCCGTCATTAAAAAAACATAAGCGAGTTTTCGCTTAGCAACGGACAGACCTTCTACGACGCGGTATCCCTCAGGGCTACGACCGTCACACATAGACCGCTCTCGTTACAGTATAAGCGGTTTCGCGTTACGGTGAACGCGTATACGTATAGTACGGTGGGGCTGAATGCAAAGACGGGACGACTAGCACAACTTGTCTCAACCAAGCCACAAACCGGCTTTTTATCATGTATATTTCAACAATTCATCAATGCAGTTTTAAATAATTCATGTTATATCCATATTCTTGTTGTTATAGCTATAAGAAACGATAATCGAAAAAAAACTCACCGAAGAGCCTTTCGCGTTGAAATTCGTCGTCCGTCTCAACCCGTCTTTGGTACAAGCTCGCTGATTGGCTGTTGATTCCCTTGGGGGCGTCATTGAGAACGCCTCTAGATTTAATAAAAAACCGTTCTGAATTTCAGTACCTCACACACGACCCCCTCTCAGTTTAGGGTACGCGTATGCATGTTACTTCCTTTTGAAAACACCCCCCTAAGTCCGGTGTGTAAAGTCAATACGGGCCGGATTTTTGTGTACTACGAGCCGGACTTTGGTGCGTTTTTTTTTTTTTTTTGGGGGGGGGGGGGGACCTCACAGTGATCACTCCGCTGTTACTACAGCAGACTCTCCGTCTGCGTTGAGTTTGCGAAAACTCCCAATGACACCAACTCTACACCTCTTCTAAGCAGGCGCGCCGGAAGCAGTTTGGGATTAGGGGGGCAAACGTTCCAGGGGCTCACCTTCTAGGGGCAGTGGCGTAATGAGCAAACATGTTTGGAAGGGGGGGGGGGGGCAGAAGAAAAATCTGCAACACCACCACTCTTACACGTTACATGCAGGCCCCGCAATCAGGCAAAGCGTAAATTGACGTGGTCCAGGGTCTGAGCCCCTCGCGGAGCCTCAGGGTTTTTAGGCATTACATTACGGTTAGATAAGCATATTTAGATACCTTATTGTGACACTGGCAGGTCACTAGTTGATTGATTGATTGATTGATTGATTGATTTTATTTCATTTCATATAACAATTGTTTGCACAATAAAGAATATAGTTGACAAAGTAAGATCAAAATTATGAAATGAAACAGGAACCTACTGGAAAGCATAGCTTGTTTTTGTAGGTTCCCAAGAATAAATATAATATGAACATTATTATTATAAATCATTTTAAAGTGTCTTGATAATCACAGTAAAATAGAAATAATATAATAACATATTTTCGTAAACCATTTTAAAGTATACAAAAATCAACAACAAAAAAATACAAGAAGAAAAGAATGACAAAACGGGACACAAAGGACAGGAAAATTACATAAAAGGATAAGACGAGACATGAAAAAACAAGTCATAACACGACAAGATAAACAAGACAGGATGGGACAAGACACACAAAAGGACAGGATAAAACAAGACAAAAACAAACTGCACACAACAGAAGTTAGAAGAAGAGGGAGAGGGGGAGAGAGAGGGAGAGAGAGGGGAGATGTGAGAAGTTTAACCTGTAGAAGACATATATTTTTGTATTAAATTCTTTTTGAACACTCTACTAAAACTATAATATGTGGGTTTATTTCTAACTGGATCTGAAAGAGTGTTCCAAAGTTTTAGACCTGAAAATACAAATGATTTATTTGAGAGCAAAGTTCTTGTTTTTGGTAGATGAAAAAGCTCGGCAGACCGAGTAGGATAATGATGAATATTGACATTCTTTGAAAACATTGAATAAAAAACATTTGGCAGTTCATTTCTATTTAAATTATACATGAATATTCCAAGATTATAGTTGGCGGGGACTCCAGGGGGCAGAGCCCCCGGAAGCTCAGGGGTTTTAGGTATTTAATTACGGTAAGATGAGCATCCATGGGGCCCGCCTTAGGACCCTTGGTGGGGTCTAGGGGGCAGAGCTCCCGGAAGCTCAGGGGTTTTAGGTATTTAATTACGGTTAGATGAGCATCCAGGGGCTCTCTTTAAGGCCATTGATGGAGCTCGGGGGTTTTAAGTATATAATTACGGTCAGATGAGCATCCAGGGGTAGAGCCCCCAGAAGCTCACGGGTTTTAGGTATTTAATTACGGTTAGATGATCATCCATTTTGTGAAGTGGTCTATTCAAATTGACAACTTCCCAGGATTTTCGGGGAGGGGGTAGAAATAATGGGAATGACCCTTTTTTCTATATTTTTACATTGGAATGACACCATACTTTTTTTCTAACGCTCCCGACAACCGATTTCCTCTTTCTCCAATACCACACGTTCTGAATTGATAATGCTCAATGTTAAACAAAATATTTCTCGACAGAACGTATGCATAGACGGTCAAAAAGTGATTGGCACCTATTCGACGAACGATGAGATGGACTACATCAATGATGATAGAAACAGACGTTTTTATTTGGATCCCGGCAATGAGTTCAACTTCGATTATGGGGAGGCCTTTGAGGGTTACACGGACAGGAGTAAAACGAACAAGAAAGGGAAGTCTAACTTAGTTGGTGGAAAATACAAATGGATGCGAGATCATCGGCAGGTTCTGATAGACAATGGACTTTTGGATACAGACCAATCAAGGTTAGATTCATGTTATGATTAATAATCTTTGGTATGCACGTTTCAATAATTTGAGGGTTAGTTAGAAAATAAAGGGTACCTGGCACGATTCCCTATTTCATTTTTGTGATGAACCTTTGGAGTAACGCAACAAACGTTCGGAATACTAATATCCTGCTAATATCTATTCAATTTTAAGAATTTTTATGAACCTTCTGGGATGGGAAGCCTCGGAATTATAAACCTCCGGAAGAACGCACCTTCGAGAAAGAAAGAAAAAAGTCATAAGCTGTTTTTAATTTCATCCCTTACTTCTAAATAAAACTTATTCCCACAAAGGAATGGTACAAACAATAAACAACTAACAACTGTTTTTTATTTTCGGGGTCAGATTGAATGTGGATTTCGCTTCTCATCATGGGGTGATTTCCTGCATTTGAAAATGGGAGGACAAAAGGACTTGGACCTTGGACTTGCCGTCACTCTCTATAAAGGAACCTACCACCTACGTTCGACGAAGATCGTAACTACGGATCCGGGTAGAGCACAACCTACACAATTCAATGAAGGTATTCGGCCAAAAGAAGGAGCCAGTCAGCCAATAGAAGCATCCTCCAGGCTCTTTCTTAAGTTTGTGACGAGCAGTGAGTATATTTTTTCTTTCACTTGTATTTATGCATTCAAAATTGTGATTCATAACATCATGAATTCACCCTTTTGACCATTCGCTCGTTCATTGTTTTTATGGACTTATCGAAAGCATTCGATACCATGGACCATCGTATATTAGTACATAAATTAAAAACATATGGAGTTAGAGGGATTGTACTTTCTTGGTTTGAAGACTATTTTGCGTAATAGACATCAATATGTTATTTTTAAATCTACAACATCTAATATTTCCACCGTAGAATGCGGAGTACCACAAGGCTCCATACATATACACCACTCCTAACATATGTTTTGTCGCAGACGACACCATCGTATATCATTCGCATACAGACTTAAGCATTCTTATTACAACCCTCAATTTAGAATTGAATTAATTATCTTCTTGGTTCAAATCCACTAAACTCTCTTTGAATATTAATAAGACCGAATTGTATTTATTTCAAAAACATACACTCTAAACATGTACTTCATTATGATAATTTTATAGATGACTTGCCCTTAATTGAAAAAGAAGTTACTTTTATGAGACAAATCCAAGCAAACGTTTCCATATGCGATAATTCGCTCGGGGGGGGGGGGGGGGGGTAGTGAGCCCTCCAAAATTTGAAAAATCGCACATCCCCTTGAGCGCCAGGAGAGGGGACCCATCTCAAAAAAAGGGAAAATGAACATGATTTTACACGTGTTTTACAAGGGGAGGGGAAAGAAAAGGAAAAAAAAAGAAGAAAAGGAAAAGAAAAAAAAAAAAAAAAAAGGAAAAGAATCAAATAAAGGGGGATGTTGGGTGGAGTCGTCTCGTTGAGGGAGCATGAAAGATACGCATAGATAAAGGTCTGCTCGGCCCCCTGGATCCGCGCCTGCTCTTATCCCCTCTTTTTCCTCTTTCATCCCCCGTTTCCTTTGTTCCATTTACTCTTTTGTTTTCATTCTTTCTTTTCTTTTCCCTTTTCCCACTTCTTTCTTTTTCTTTTTCCTGTTTCTTTCTTCTCTATTTTCCCTTTCTTTTCTTTCTTTTCTTTTCTTTTCCTTTTTTTTTCATTTTCTTTCTCTCTCATTTTTCTCTCCCTTTTCTCATATTTCCCGACGGCAGCGCAATTTTACCGACAATATCCTGATAGGTGGAGGGGCAGGCGCGGATCCAGGATTTCTTAGGGGGGGGCCAAATTTGAATTATGCGAGCCAAATATCAGTACATAATGGTGACACCTACAGTGGCAAAAACGTTTGGGGGGGGGGGTACATACACAAAAAGAAAAAACATCACCCCACTTACAAGCAGGCCCCGCTCAAGGGGAGGAGCCCCCTGAAGCTCAGGGGGTATAGGCATTTAATTACGGTCAGATGAGCATATTTTGATACCTAATTTCTGACACTGGCAGGACACAAATTGGTGTTGGGTCCAGGGGGCGGAGCCCCGAGAAGCTCAGGGGTTTTATACATTAAATTATCGTCAGATGAGCATATTTCATACCTTATTTATGACACTGGCAGGTCACGAATTGGCGTGGGGTCCACGCGAAGCCCCTAGAGGCTCAGGGGTGATAGGCAATAGGTCACGGTCAGATGAGCATATTTTTATACCTTATTTGTGACACTGGCAGGTCACAAATTGGCAGAGGGGTCCAGAAGGCGGAGACCCCGGAAGCTCAAGGGTTTTGGGCGATAAATTACGGTCAGATAAGCATATTTTTATGCCTTATTTGTGACACTGGCAGGTCACGAATTGGCGTTGAGTCCAGGAGGCGGCGCCCCCGGAGGCTCAGGGGTGTAAGGCAATAAGTCACGGTCAGATGAGCATCCAGGGCCTCTTAGGGCAATAGTTAGGTTCAGGGGGCAGAGCCCCGGAAGCCCAGGGCTTTAGGCATTTAATTACGTCAGATTAGCATAATTATACCTTATTTGTGACACTGGCAAGACACTAAGTGGCGTGGGGTCCAGGGGGCCGAGAACCCCGGAAACTCAGGGGTTTTAAGCAAATTACCGTCAGATTAGCATCCAGCCGTCCACCTTAGGACACTAGGTGGGGTCCAGGGGCAGAGCCACCGGAAGTCAAGGGGTTTTAGGCATTTAATTACGGTCAAATGATCATTGTTTTTGTTTTTGTTTTTTTCCCTGGAAATTGGAAAATTACGTCGTTTGATATTTTCTTCAGTGGCTTCGGGGGGGGGGGGGGTAAGAACACTTTTTTGTTGTTGGTTGCTTTCTTTAGCACACACACACACAAAATATTTCCCCCTTTTTTCCTTCTTTTTGGGCCAGGGGGGGGGGGCACCCCCCTGGAGTTCCTTATTTGCCAAAAACTCAGGAGCGATCGAGGGCTCCACCCCGGGACCCCAGCTGAGGCTCTGCTGGGGCTATCCACTAGGAGCCCGTCGGGACGCTATATCTTGGCCATACCCGGAAGCGTTATTTTTTTCTGCGGCACAGATCGGGGCTTTTTTTTTTAAAGGGGTCTTGATTTAACCCTAACCCTAACCCTAACCTTTACCCTAAACTTTCCCATAGGCTCAACACGAACCTAACCCCAATCTGTGCCGCAGAAAAAAATAACGCTACCCGGAAGGACTAGTACTTTGCAGTGCGATTCGCTTACTAGTTGACTTTGTCTTTCCCCTCTTTTCGAAAACCTCGGATCCGCCGCTGATATGCGCCATTCGATCTGACTAATAAATTGATTATTGTGATGTCATTATGCAAAAATAATGATAAAAATGAAAAATTGTGTGTTCTTGTCCTATATCAGGGGACGGGCGAACCCCAGACGAGACTGCATCCCGGATTGCACCTGTAAACGACAATGAAACCTTCAATGCTGTGATGACGGTCAACTGCGGGAATCACCCCCTGCTTGTGTGTTTTGAGATACAGGCAGAAAAGAGAATCACTGACCCACCTCCAGATTTGCCAAACCCACAAAACTGTATGAATATCCGCTCGAGGAATCAGAGACAGCAACATATTTATCCGTAAGATTGAATTCTATTTTCGTAATATAATCAATTTTTCAAGCATATGGAAATTTTATGCTCGAGGGAGAGACATCTAAATATTGATCCGTAAGATAATGGTCCATTTTCGTAACATAGTCGAATAGACAGGCTTTCCAACATATTTTATGTATAAGTTTTAGACATTACATTTTTCCTGACAACCTGAATGCTTGTCCGAGGCTTGCTCGACTTAGCAACGTACAATGTATGCAGACTGAATTCCCGGTATTGTAGTTCATTATTTTATTAATAACAGGATAATGAAATAACTCGTAACGAAGTCCCCAGGAAAGAATGTACATGAATTAGTAAACCGGTCTTTTTAAACCTTTACATAAAATTGGGTTCTTCATATGAAACACAATAAGTATGATTTATATGAGGTCAATTTGACATAATGTACAACTGTCGTAATCAGTTACAGCAGTTGTACATGGTTCATAAGCGTGCCCCTGGACCCTATGCTTTAAAGATGCGTGGGTATACAGTGTGAGACAAAAAAAAGTTACCATCTAGAAAATCGCTAATTATTAAAAAAAAAAAAAAAAAAAAAAAAAATCATCGATGAACATTAAATTGTTATATGACTTATAAAAGAGTGTTGTATCCCAAATCATTTGGTACCATTTTTGTTTGGTATGTGTTCACGCTTGGATGAACAGGTGGCATTGTTTGCGAGAGTGAAAAAATCGACTTGCGCCAAAGTTGCTTATGTGATGTTTGAATAAAACAATCGGGATTTGGGTATTAATTCGGTCTATGCAGATCCAAATAGCATCCCTTACAAAATTAATCATGCCACACATATCAAATATCGAATTTCAAATATCAACGAACATTTGTGCGCGTGTGTTTGGGTGTGTGTGACTTTGCCTTTTGCAAAAAACATATGCAATGCATTTTATTTGAGACATTCAATTCATTCTCTCACTCCGCCAATCCCAACATAATACATACTGTAGGCATAACTTTGGCGCAAGTCGTTTTTTGCACTCTCGCAAACAATGCCACCTGTTCAACCAAGCGTGAACACCTACCACGCAAAAAATGGTACCTAATGATTTGGGATAAAACACTCTTTCATAAGATGTACAATTACTTACTGTTCATAGATGATTTAATTTTTTTAAAGCAAATTCCTAGGTGTAAACTTTTGACTCGCACGGTAAAGTCGTTCGTGCAGTAGGCTACTTGGCGATCACTACATAACACTGAGCCAACGGGTATCACGCTCCCGTGCGTACGTCCGAGTGCTGCCCTCTATATACCCACCAATGAGCAACTTTAAGAGAGGAGTGGTTCCCAAGACAAGATTATCCTTTGGATAGAATTGTGTGGGAGAGAGAATTGAAACGAAATAAACCAATATGGGTAGTGCAAATTTCAAGGAATGAGTTTAAATATCTACCACTCAAGATGGATATCTTAAAGCCCGTCTGCACTAGTTTGGCCAGGGAGATTAGACCTCCCTGCAAGGTCACTGACAGGTGGTTATCTCATCAAATCAGCTCCAATTAGCATAAGAAAGAGGGGATCATGGGGGACCAACATGCACCGATTAGGCATTGTTTGCTATATGGAGGGCGCAATTAGCGATAAGTAGTGCAGTGGTGCTTTAAAGAGCGCCCGGGGGCTCCTCTCCCACGACCTCTAACATGGTTCAGCTCCCTGCATCAAGGGTTTCAGGGAACAACATCAAGAGTACTCTGATTTCATGTCAGGCGCGCAAGAAAATTGTAAAAACATTTGTGTTAAAGACAAAACTTTCTGCTGTGGTAAAAAAGAATTTCTCTTACAACTCTTTTTCTTTCCCTCCCATTCTCGATCTATCTTTCACTCATCGTCTCTCCCCATCCCTATACCTCCCTCCATCTCTCTTGTTCTCTTTCACTTACACACCATCGTGACTCGTTTACTAACCTTCAACACCAATCTCTTTCTATATTCTCAAAAACTGTCCCCTTTCTCCTCTCTCCCTCTCGACCCCTACACCCGTTTCGCCGTCTTCCGTTCCTCTCTCCCCTTCTTTCTCTTTTTCATCTCAAACCGCTCTCGCCCTCTCACCCATTTCAATTTCTTGATTGTTCTTCCCTCTTAAATCATCCTTGGCCCTACGGCAGTATGAAGGCCTTAAACTGGTGGGCACCGAATGTGATGGCGGGCATTCCCGAAATCTACTGTGGGTTGCGAGACGACCATCGCAGAACCATCGAGAGAATCGAAACCATAAAAACGAAAGAACTGGCGACTAATCAGGTGAATTGTATTGATATGATGGTTTGGGATTGACTTTAGCTTTGTATTTGATCGAGAGAGGCGATTTTTTGTAATAACTGGTTACGTACGTCGGAGGGAAGTGGGCGGGGGGGGGGGGGAGGGCACGAAATTTTAAACCAGGTAGTTATCGTCGCAGCAATCCTGTAACAGTGAATACTGGTTAAGGTTACACGGGTTGATTTTCTTTTTGCATGTGGAACTTCATTATAGAGTAGCAATGAGAGAATAACTTTATTTTATACAGCTATGATCTATTATGTTGCTATAGCTAACAGATTCGAGTCACGTGTACGTGTTTTCCCATTCGTTCATATTCATAGGAGTGCATAGCTTTCAGTATTTGTTATATACCCAGCAAGATTTAGGTTTCTTTGGTTTAAAAGTTGTCCTACACAATATTTTTGAATACAATTAGTGAAGTGTACACAAACAACGATTCTCCCGCCAGTACGCCTACCAAACATTGTACTTGAGGAAATTAATGTATTGTAAACAAAGTCTGAAGTTTTTTCATTTGTCCAGTAAATGATATTTAATCACCAATAGTTAATTTGTGTAATCGACTTGCAATGCACCTCTGTGCTTTATTTTCATTGTGGTTATATAGTGCGTCCCAGAACAAACGAACCGAGAATTATCGATGTTTTATCATAACTTAGTCACATTTATAATTGATAAATGACACACATTTGGAAAGCCTAGATCCTCTGTTATTTGATGCAACTCGTTATGATGCATATTTCACGCATGAGTGATTAAAATCAATTTGAAGAGAAGAAAACAAAAAGTCATTTGGCGGACGATATCTGAATTTCAAAGAGAAAATCACATTTCTAGAAAGTTGGGTTTCTGCCCTTTCATAATTATGACACCTCAATCAGGAAAAATGCGCAAGGAATGACAAAGTTCTGTTTGTTTAAAGAAGCCCTTATATTTTCATAATTTTAGCAAACGAATTCGTTTTCACTGGCTGCCTGCCGTAGGAAAATTAAGGCAGAATTGACAAAAGACTAAAATCCGTTTCGTTGACAATCAGCCATGCATGAAGTCTTTCGTCTACGGTTGATTGTCAAACGGAGTTAAGTCTTTTGTTAATTTCGTTTGTTGATACGGCAGGCAGCCAGTGAAAACGAATTCGTTTAATAAAATTATGGAAATGCAAGCACTACTTTAAACAAACAGAACTTTGTTATTCCTTGCTCATTTTCCTGATTGAGGTGTCATATGAAAGGGCAGAAACTCAACTTTCTAGAAACGTGATTTTCTTTTTGAAATTCGGATATCGTCCGCCAAATGACTCTTTGTTTTCTTCTCTTCAAATTGATTTAAATCACTCATGCGTGAAATATGCATTATATAAGCTGCATTAAATAAAAGAGGAGAATCTAAGCTTTACAAATATGAGTCATTTATCAATTAAAACTGTGATTAAGTTATGATAAAACATCGATAATTATCGGTTTCGTTTTTTCTGGGAAGCACTGTACTTTATGGACATCATGATAATCAGTTATACTTATACTTAATTGTATCATTTTTGAGAGAAAGACATTTAAGGAGTGTACGTGTGCCGACCAAGATTTTTGTACTGACTAACATTTAACAAAAGGTGACACCATTAAATTCTTTGACTTATTTTTTGTAGAACTGTTGGGATTCTGGACATTGCATCCAAACTTTGGAGTCTGTGCTCTCTCAGATAAAAGAACTGGTACCAGAAGATGATCCAAAGTAAGGGCTTATTTTGAATCATCGGGTCATCGCGTCCAGTCGGGTGGTCGCGTCACATTGACCAGACCATTTTGTAGATGAATGGGGTTTATTCATAAACATTCATGGATAAAGTGGCCTGTTTTCACCAAAGGTCAAGTAACGCGACCACCCGACCAGATACGATGACCCGATAATTCGAAGTCAGCCAAAGTACGCCTTTATTAAGATCTTTGGGGGTGTCGTGGTACATGAATATAGTGGCTAATTACTTGACTCTCAATCCTGGTGTTCAAGATTCGAATCCAAACCCGGCAACATTTGCCAATCTCTATATACAGGTGTAAATGGGTATCTGGTAATTGCTGGGGCTATAATAATTGCAGAGGTATTAAGAAGGACGAACATCATTGATACTTATTAGGTTTACTTGGGTTAACAAACTTACTATACTATTTTTGCCTTTCAAGACGACTACCCCCCCCCCCCTACTTTCATCCCCGGAATTCTTTCCCTCGCGCAAACCTATAACTGTTGACACTTATTTTGGGGTACGCAGGATTTTCATTCAAAGGGGGGGGGGGGGGGGGTAAAATTTGAAAATCGCGCCGAAAATTTCGGAGGGGGGGGGGGGGGGTAAGAACACATCCCCCGGAAATGGAAAAATTATGCCGGTCTAGCGAAACGATTTAACTTCATAGAACGTTTTTCACCCTTTCGCAGCTACGGACTGACCGCGGGATGTGAACCTGGCATTTTTTGTTTGAGGGGGGGGGGGGGTAGATGGTTGGTTGGTTGGTTTTATCTTCCGTATAAAAATCAAGAATACTACTTACAAATATAATACAAATCAAGAATTAAAAACGGCTGGAATGCTCTATTCAGAGGCATTATGGATTTGTTCTTCCTAGAGGTCTAGATAGCACATGGTGACACACACCGATATTGGGGGAGGGGGGGGGGTGTAGGGATAGGGTTAAAGTCTTGACCACTAAGTTACGTAGAAGACCATTTTAACCTTCCTGATGTATTATCAGAGGGTATAATCAGTGACGGATACGTGGAGGGGTTGGGGCACACGAATATGTAGGAGAAAACAACTATGACCTGTGCCTCAGTTATCATCAGTAATTGTTGTTGATTCATAGGGGGCGGTGGTGGGTGAACACGGAATAGCCTATCCGGCAGGCAGCAGCAGAGGGCATCTCAAATTTCATACTAGCCTTCATTATAAAAAAAAATTCCGATTACGTCATTCTCTCACTATATTTTGAACCCCCCTCCTCTCTTTCTCAGTTCTTTCAAGCGAGCCGTTCTCACAATCAGGTCTGTAGACGGGGGCTCAGGAATGAACACAGTCGAAATCCAGAAGCGGAATGGACAGGAGGGAGATCGGTTTGTAGAGGAGGACGATATCCAGCTCATCTTCAAGGGCAATGAGTAATAAGCGGAGTTAAACAAAAATGTATTTGGTATCACTCCCACCATTAAAGGGAGACCATTTCTTTTAACCTAATCCAACAAAATATACAAATAGAAAGAAAAAATAATTGGGCTACAGTAAAACTTGTGTATAAAGATCACCTAAGGGGGACAAGAAAAGTGTACTTAATAGGCAGATGGTCTTTGTGTTCAATGTTTCAATGTTTCAATGATGTAAGGGAAATGCATGATGAAGTCTTATATTATGTGATATGCAGTCTTTACAAATAAGTAGTCTTTCTGTACAGGTGGTAGCTAGAGCAGATTTCACAGCACATAGCTAACAGAAAAACAGAAAGAAAGAACTAAAAGGGTTCGCGATTCAGCACGTTTAACATTATTGTATTGAGAACAAATTCAAATCGTCATGCAAGCTTCCTAAAACTGTCGCCATAGTGTGATGACTGGAGCTTAAAATCTGTGATTTTTTATTGTTGTATAGACTTTTGTAAAAACTATGCAAATTCATTTGCTGCTTCTTCCTTTTTCTTCATAATATTGTAGAGCTGTAATTATGCACGAAATAGATGCTTGTTCGTGTATCCAATATGAGGTGGGGTGCATGCAGTTGCCCCTTCCCTCAATTATCTAACTTAGAAAAGATGTTGTCTGCACATCTTTGTTTGTTTACATGGTCTTGACTCTAATTTACTAAATGTGTCGGTAGGTTAACTTTTGTTATCCCCAACATGAAAAAGCAGGCTTGTACGCAAATCAGTGATTAAATCGAAATCATTTAAGAATGCGTCAGTCGTTTATCCTTTTCATCTTTAGCCACGACTCAAAGGGTAAATAAATATTGTGTCCTCGATCTAAATTTCAGATTACAATCTGTAAAAAAAGCCTGCAAATATTTTATCTTACAACTACAAGCGTTATTGCAAGAGATGATGCAGCTCTGACTATACTCTCACTAAATAGGGAAGGAGGTTGGGGTAGATTGTGCATACATTTTGAAAGACGCAAGTGCTCTTGTTTGATATGTTTGAAATGTTACAGTTCTGTCGTTATCTTCTTTTGTAAATCTATATCAGGCAGGTATAAGATATATCATAAAGGAACGCTATATTGCTCATTATTTACACATGCTTGCAACTTTACGAACAGTCACTCTTTTGATGTATTGTAAGTTGAAGTGTCGTAATGATTTACCCTCAAATTTATTTTGACTACTAGATTTTACGTAACAATGCTACAGGTACAAACTGGATATCTTAGCGTTCAGCTAAAGTTACATTTCATATTTGTTACCCTGTGTTTTTTAATGGTGGAATCCTAAAACAATTTTCTGATCGTTGTTTTGACATATTTTTGCATGTAACATTTACTTATAGTAATATGCTTTGAACTTAAGTCTTCCGTAATAATAAATTGCGTTTAAAATCAGTCAATGAAATGACCATAATGAACTACGATAATAGTTGGTGTATTATGAGAAAAATTGCGTATGTTATTGTAGAATTAACGGTCAACTGTCATGTGATTTTTTCCTAGAGTAGTGTTTCGTAGCTTTTAAGATTTTTATATTTCTGTTGTTTCTGTATTAAACAAAAAATTATATCATGCAGATTTATACACATATGCTGTCTGTATTCAGTCTGAGTCAACAAAAAGTTTACACCTAGAAAATTGCTAATTATTTTAATAATCATCTATGAATAGTAAGTTATTATACATCTTAATATGAAAGAGTGTTTTATCCCAAATCATTTGGTATCATTTGTGTGTGGTATGTGTTCACGCTTGGATTAACACGAGGCATTGTGTGCGAGAGTGCAAAAATAGAATTGCGCCTAAGTTGCTTATGTGATTTTGAATAAAACAATTGGGATTTGGGTACTAATTCGGTCTTTGCAGATCCAAATATCATCCCTAACAAAATTAATCATGCAACACATATCAAATATCGAATATCAAATATCAACGAGCATGCGTGCGCGCGCGTGTGTGTGTGTGACTTTGCTTCTGCAAAAACCATCTGCAATTCATTTGATACATGTATTTAATTCATTCTCTCACTCCGCTAATCCCAACATAATACATGCTGTATGCATCACTTTGGCGCAAGTATATTTTTGCCCCGGCCCCCCCACTCAGTGTTATTTAGGGTACGCATATGCTCGTACCCTATTTTTGAAAGCACCCCCTATCTGAGGACTGCCAACATTTCCGAACCCCCCTTTCGCGGGCTTTTCCTGCCTTGGAGACCCCCCTAAATCAGGAAAAATGCTCAATGTACCCCCCTAAATTCGGAATAATTTCTCAGGAGTCCAAAGAGATGAGAGAGAAAAAGAAAAACACCCCCTTTTTAAAGAAATCTCAGGGTGAAAAGTCAAATATACCCCTTTTTTTTACAATTCTCGGGCCGGACTTTGCCGTACGAAAAGTACCCCTTTACCGGACATTTTGGCAACACGCATGCGGTCATTCTGACCTCTGAGTGGGGGGGGGGCCGGGATTTTTGCACTCTCGAAAACAATGCCTACTGTATATCAAAGCGTGAATAATGCTTAATAATTTACTGTTCATAGATGATTTTTTTTAAATAGCAGTTTTCTAGGTGTAAACTTTTTGTTGACTCACACGGTATTAAAGTAACGAATGTTTTATCATTTAAAAAAAAAATTATGCTGAAGTAGCTATGTATTTGTGACCTTTCGCTTCGTACTTTCATCCTAATAAAATGTTCTGATCGTCGTTTTGACACATAATTATTTGCATGTTACATTAGTTTATAGAAATATGCTTTCAACTTAATTCTTTTGTAATAATTAATTACTATACTTGAGCATGTAACTTTAGTTTTGAAAATCACATTGTAACTGTTACGTACAGTATATGGAAATAATTATACTCAGAACTTATATTTCATTGCTTTTAATGAATCATTAAAAATTGTACTTGCAAAAAAAAATCTGTATACGAGAGAACTTGATACCAAACAGCATTAGTTATATGAGTTTGTTTCATAGTAATTAAACAAAATGGTCCACCATGGGCAACGTATTCATTAATCATCTTCCTGAAAGAGCCGAATATCATTATATCCTTAAGATCAGGCGCGGATCCAGGGGGGCGAGCGGGCCTTGCCCCCCCTCCCCCCGCAAAAAAAAAAGGAGAGAGTGAGGGAAGGAAAAGAAGGGAAAGGGAAAGAGGAGAGAAAGGGAAAAAAAGAGAGGAAGAAGAAAAGAAAAGAGGGAAGAAGGAGATCGGGGGTGGGGGGGGGGGGCAAAAGGACTTGCCTCCCAGTCTGTTGCCTCCCCTCCCCCTCCCCCCCCCCCCAATCAAAAATTAAAAGAGAAGGAAGGAAAGGGAAAGAAAAAAAAATAGGAGATAAAGGGAAGGACAAAAGAGGAAGAAGAAAAGAAAAGAAGGGGATATCAGTTGCAATTTTCCCGCCAACAAGTTGTGGATCGGGGGGAGGGGGGCAAAAGGACCTAGCCTTCCCCCCCCCCCGTCCCCGCTAAAAAAAAGAGAGAAGGAAGGAAAAGGAAAAAGAGGAGAGCTAAAAGGGAACAAAAAAAAAGAGGGAAAAAAAGAAAAGGGAGAAAAGAAGCGGAGATGAGTTGCGGTTCATCCTGCCAACAATGTGTGGAGCGGGGTGGGGACTAAAATGACCTTGCCCCTCCCCCAACCCCCCCCCCCCCCAGCAAACCTAAAAGAGAGATAAGGAAGGGAAGGGAAAGGGAAAGAGGAGAGAAAGGGAAAGAAAAAAAAGAGAATGAAGAAAGTTAAGGGATATCAGTTGCAATTTTCCCACCAACACGGTGTAGATCGGGGTGGGGGGGGGGGGGGGGGGGGGGGGGGGGGGGGGGGGGGGGGGGGCTTTGGAGAAATAGAATTCAAACGTGGTTTATTTATAATTCCATAACGGTGGTTTACAAATAATGCTGAAATGAGATAATTTACCGAGATTTTTCCTCACTTTATGCGTTTGTTGGAAAATGAAAAATTCCTAAATTTACAGCCAGGCAAGAAAATGCTTCTTGAGATTCCTACATATCAGGGCCCGCGGAACGGCGGAGATCGGGAACCTCGAGCCCCCCCCCCCACACTTTCTTTGAAAAAGTATATTAAAGAGAAATAGAAAGAAAGAGAGCAAGAAAGAAAAAATAGTTAACCGCCAGTGTCACATTATAATGGGGTATCAAAAATGCTCATCTGACCGTAATTAAACGCCTAAAACCCTGAGCTTCCGGAGCTCTGCTCCCTGGACCCAACCAAGAGCCCTAAGGCGGGCCTCTTGATACTCATCTGACCGTAATTGAGTGCCTAAAACCCTTGAGATTCTTGGGCTCCGCCCCCTGAACCCCAAGCCAATTAGTGACCTGCCACTGTAACAATTAGGTATCAAAATAATGCTCATCTGACTGTAATTAAATGCCTAAAACTCCTGAACTTCCGGGGCTCTGCCCCCTGGACCCCGCCTATAGGGCCCTCAGGCGGACCCCTGAATGCTAATCTGACCGTAAATTAATAATAATAATAATACATAACATTTATTAGGCGCTTAATACTGATGTTTCTAAGCGCACAGTGTTCTGATTAAGAGAAGACTATAACCCGTAGAATTAAATTAGAAGAAAAAGCAAAAATACAAAAGTAACATAGATAAGGTAAGAAAACAGTGGCAATCAACTAAATAAAGACAAATATGGTGCGCACCTCCATTGACCGACGCACAACTGCAATTTACAATTTGAAAAGATAGGTTTTGAGTAGAGATTTGAATTGAGATACAGAGGGGGCGCAGTGAATAAAGGCGGGCAGTTTGTTCCAGAGAGCGGGGGCAATAACTGAAAAGGCGCGGTCACCATACCGGGTGTTAGTGCGGGGTCCAGGTGTTAACAGTAATGTGGAAGATGAACGAAGTGTTCGTGACGACGTACGGGAACGTAAGGATATGAGATCGGAAAGGTAAGAGGGGGCTAAGCCATTGATAGCTTTGTAGCACAGGAGAAGAATTAATTAAAACCTTTAACCCCTGAGCTTCCGGGGCGGACAAGGTATCAACATAATTATGTTCATCTGACCGCAGGCGCGTAGCCAGGGGGGCGGTGGGGTGGTCCCCCATAAACGCCGGCCAAAAAATAGAGGAGTGAAAAGGAAGAGGACGTAGGAAAAAAGGGAATAGACAAAGAACATTTTTGAAATTCAGACAAGGATTAAGAGTCGAGAACGGTACGAATCAGGAATCGTCTTCTTTCTCTAATGATTTAATGAAACGTAAAAGCTTCCGCGCTTCGCGTGGGAGGGGGGGGGGGAACTGAATTTAGACAAGGATTAACGGTCATAACGGTACAACGAATCGTCTTCTTTCGCTAATGATTTAATGAAACGGGAAAGCTTCCGCGCTTCGCGCGGGAGGGGGAAACTAAATTATTTTTGAGAGCGGTACAACAAATATTCTTCTTTCTCTAATAATTTAATGAGACGTCTGAGCTTCCGCGATTCGCGCGAGAGGTGGGGGCGGTCGGTTTGAGTATGGGATGGATCATTCCCCCACTACCCCATTTTCTTTTTCTTTCTTTTTTCGATTAAAACATCTCATACATAATACAAATTAAAATGAAACACATGTATTTTAAATATATCATTATCATAATACAAAATGATGATAAATATAGTATGAGTAGAAACCGAGATTATGGATTAAAAAACAAAGAAAAGAGACAGAACAACACAACAGGTTACTATATTATTCTAATTCTAGCACATTCCATTTTTTGCGAAATCTATGCATGGATCTATCCTTAAAGTCATCGTTTACTGAGATCATGGCCCTACGTGTTATCAGAGTCTGTGAAATGGTGTAATATTGAAGCCCTAACAAAAAAAAAAAGCGCTTTCAAATGATCATGCAGTGCCTCAAAAAGTCTTTGGGTGACCGGTTTTACCATAATCATTTGCCCCAACAGACTGTAGTGTTATAAAAACCATTTATTGGGAAAACTGTGAAATTTCGATTTCCAATCATAAATATCTTGATAATTATAATGACTGACCTTGTATGAATTATGATCGCATGAGCTAAATCCAGGATTTTTATTAGAATCTGAGGCAATGAAAGATACCCAATCCTTTTAAAAAGAAGGTTGAATTATTGAGAGGTGAAAAATTATTTGTGAGCGTTATCATTATATTATGCAAGTGTGGAAGAACATCAGATAAAAAAATGTTCCCTGTAAAGCATGGCTCTTCAAATGCCTTTATATTCTGAATTTGGCATGTAACATAGGGACGGATTTTTATGCCACATGTTCGTGTAGTATATACTTCATCTTTCTGTGTACAATGCTTGTAACTACCAAGACAGGGCCAAATTGCTTATCGTTTTGATGATTCTAGAACCATGCAGTACACACCAATACTTGAATGTTAGATGATCAACCTTTTCTGATCGATTCCACAAGGTTTCTTTCACACTACAATCGCATGACCAGAAGTCAACTTTATCTTTAACATGTTTGAACATTTAGCATTGAAGTCATTTCTCTCATCTGATCAAACAATGTTAACAAGTCCCTTTAATGGTTTCCGTATTCTATCTATCTATTCATTCATCCCCCTGAAAAATAGGTATTGCGTAAGGATTTACGCCCATGTCCACATACCTTAATCCCAATTTACTTAGTAACAGCTTTCCCAGTTTCAGCTGTTCGTTTTCCCTCTAGTTTCTATTAAACGTTGCGCGCTTTATTGTACATAACTGACCTTTATTTTTTTTAAACCCATCAGTTTGTAACAATATTGTAGCAATTGGAAAATAACCTGTGGGAAAAATCCACTAAGAAACAGACTGAGCAGCTCCATGGAGCAGCACATCTCAAAAGTGCTCACTTACTCTTGCGAGGACTTTGGATGAAAAAGCGAAATGATTCAATAGTTTTTGCGGGATTTTGCATTTGGAATTTTCACTTTAGCGAGATTATTGCTGAGATATTATTCTGAAGCTGACGACCTGTCTACAATAGACCATGCAATACCAGCATAGGAGTTGCTATGTCAGACGTGATGTAGCATCACCAGGAAAAGAAAGGTAATGTGGAGGTATTGTATGAAATAATGCAATTCTTTTGTGAGCATGTGCTGAGCTGGGGGAAGTAACATACCACTGTCTCTAGTTAGCTCACTAATGATTGACTGATGATGCCACAAAATGAATGAGATTGGAGCTTTTATTTAGGGTGGGGCTTAGCAGGTAAGAGAAAATTATTAAAACAAATATTTTTAAATGAGTAATTTTGTATGCAGCCCTGCACATTGATCAACAGGAATCAACTTATATTTGGATGTCACCCGACCTTAAAGTTGACTTATCAGGATGAACGAAATAGGCCTTCCGCATATTTAGGCCCATTTATTTATGCACGCCTCTATAAAAGTCCTACCAACTTTGCTTTGCTGCGATGCTTTGAATTAAAGAGATGGCGCTAGACCGTGCTTGAAAAACTGATGGATTGTTTTCCTTTTTCTTTTGTCTCTTCAGAATACCCTACAATTCACTCTAATTCAATAACAAAACATCAATGCGAAGAAAAGAGAACTTCATTTAGGCTCATAAAATGGCGCATGAAAATCACGGACTTCCTCCAGAGGAACACATTGATCATTGGAATGAAGCAACTAACATTTATATGGTTGTCATTGTTGTGTCGCTATGGTTCTTTTTCTACGTTCGCAAGTAAGTTTATTTTTAGCTCTTTGTAATTGTCCAGTTGTTGGTTGTCGGTCAGAGATCGGGCCCATGCAATATGCACACGTAGACTCTAGCTGCATTTAGTATCCTGGCCAGGAATTAAAAGCTGTGCTATTGATTTTCAACATTTCAAACGCCACTGAACAAAACTCAACTGATATGATTTCACTCAAAATCAGTACTTTAGTGACAATAAATGACACCTAAATAGCTGTAATATACAATTGTTGGGGCGCTTGTTCAGAAACGTATCAAAAATTTGACCTGTACTGTACCTACTGGAGTAGACCGAAAGCTTCAGTCTCTATACCGTCTGTTGTTCCACTGAGACTACGTCTGGCTCCACTAGACCTCCGGTTATAGAGACTGAACGATCGCCTATGCCAGCCTATGTTGAAGATATCACGGCTAGATTTTAGCCGTTAGGCCCCTCCCACAAACATGAACAAACTTGCCACGGCCGTATTGTTATGCCCCCAAAATCCCCCAAAATGTCATTTACCTCGTGCATATCCAATTTTACATTAGGCCTAGGCTATAATACATCGGTTCCACTTACTAACTTGATTGAAATAATCTGTTTAATGGTCCCTTTTAAGGAAATTATGGGTCAAAATCGACATCCATGTTGAAAATCTTGCAAGCCGTGTTAAACTCTCGCTGCCGTCAATCTCATCCCTTCTAGTCTACGCCGAAGGCAAAATGATTATGAAGGAAAAACTGTGCGCCATCTACACGTTCGTAATGGCGTTATCACAGTTTTTCCTTCATAATCATTTTTGCCTTCGGCGTAGACTAGAAGGGATGAGATTGACGGCAGCGAGAGTTTAACACGGCTTGCAAGATTTTCAACATGGATGTCGATTTTGACCCATAATTTCCTTAAAAGGGACCATTAAACAGATTATTTCAATCAAGTTAGTAAGTGGAACCGATGTATTATAGCCTAGGCCTAATGTAAAATTGGATATGCACGAGGTAAAATGACATTTTGGGGGATTTTGGGGGCATAGCAATACGGCCGTGGCAAGTTTGTTCATGTTTGTGGGAGGGGCTTAACGGCTAAAATCTAGCCGTGATATCTTCAACATAGGCTGGCATAGGCGATCGTTCAGTCTCTATAACCGGAGGTCTAGTGGAGCCAGACGTAGTCTCAGTGGAACAACCGATGGTATAGAGACTGAAGCTTTCGGTCTACTACTGGAGAAACCTAGACCTACTAGATCTACCTAGGTCTATACCTAGCCTACTGTCTGTAGGCCCTAGAGTAGACAAAATTGTTCTGTCTCTTTCGTTCGTTAGCCTCTGATTTGGGTAGGGTCGGCTCTCTCTTTAGAGACAGAACAGGCCCATACGCTTTAGTGTTCACGTTCAGTGTAACGTTTCTTTACACCAAACTTGGCAAAACTACCAGCCAAAAATTCCATATTTCACAGGATGCATATCCGGTGCATCTTATTTTGACAAGTAGACTAGACTAGACTAGGTATAGATTCTAGGCTTAAAGATAAACTTGAGTTCTGGTAAAAAAGAAAATGAATTCTCACAAAATCTAACGAAACTTACACTGAATGTTCAAGATTACAAATAAATGTCATGTGCCAAACAATTTTGGAAGAAATGTATATACTAGCTGAGTAATGAGCATAGAAAGATATAGACCGAATTTTCCGTCTCTTTCGTTCGTTAGCCTCTTATTGGGGTAGGGTCGGCCGGCTCTCTCTTTAGAGACGGAAACCGTCTATACACATTCCCTTGATAACGCCACGGCCATTTCAGGTCGTAGCGTTTTGCCCCCAAAATCCCCCAAAATGTCATTTTACCTCGTGTATATCCAAATGTAAATTAGGCCTAGGCTATAATACATCGGTTCCACTTACTAACTTGATTGAAATAATCCGTTTAATGGTCCCTTTTAAGGAAATTATGGGTCAAAATCGACATCCATGTTGAAAATCTTGCAAGCCGTGTTAAACTCTCGCTGCCGGAGTCATCTAAATCAATCTCATCCCTTCTAGTCTACGCCGAAGGCAAAAATGATTATGAAGGAAAAACTGTGATAACGCCATTACGAACGTGTAGATGGCGCACAGTTTTTCCTTCATAATCATCTTCCTTCATGCGCAGTAACAGTTTAAAATACGGCTGCAATAAGAAATACTGTTTTTAAGGACGATTAGCGATAATGAACATGTTCCAGTGGCTCTCCTACAATTCTCTCTCACTATTAAAAACAGCTTTGATGTCAGTGCTTCCTGGCTCGTGTTTTCTAAAAAACTCTTTCAATTTGGTACCAGTACTCCTCCCACTCTTTCCTCAGACTGAAGTGCATAGATAATAAATACCATAAGTTTCATTGATTTCTGTTAGTATGAGCCTACTAAAGAAAGAGATTGAGGAGCTGTTCTTGTTGGTTTTAGTCTTGACGGTGTAGGTTGTTTGAAAGAAATTTGGCCCTAAATGATATATCAGATTTTTTCCCCTTCTCATTATATGCATTATGTCGGGAAAGTGAGGAGGAGGGTCACTTACAATTGCGAGTATTTTTTTTAATTGAGCAACAAAGAATAATTTATATCCATATTTTAAGCCATCATTTTTAAAGCTTCTTTTCCTCTGTCTTTTTTTTTTACTTGTGTTTTTAGGAACAAGGGAAGGATTGTGAGAATGCTAACTATGAAGAAGACAACAAGAGATCAGACAGATTTAATGAACAGCAGATATAAAGAAGAACTTCAGCAGGTCAGATTGAGACAACAACTAGAATCATACTACGTCTGTAAGTTCTAACAATCATGGTAATTTGTAACATACATGATCATGATTTTTAATGAAATGTAGAAGTTTCATAGTCTAGTGGTGATAAGAGTTGGCTAGAAATTTTCCCTCATGGGTTGGATCCCTTGCATGGCACTACTGTCCTTTGGCAAGACATGAGGACATTGACAAGATATACATGTAAATCTGCATGCCACTCTTTACTTTGGTGTTCATTAAATTTTGTGAGCACTAAAATCAGTAGAACAGCTAGAGCTAGGGTAATATTTGAGCACCTTGCATCCTGGCTATGAGCCCTAAATGGAATATTTAATATTGTTATTGTTATTATTGTATTATTATTACAATTATTATTTATATAATTATTATTATTATTACTACTATGATTAGCATTTTTATTTATCAGTAATAATACTTATTATTATTATTACTATTATTGTTGTAATTGTCTTACATGTACAGCTCGAAAATGGGATCAAGGTAAACCAGTCAGCCAAGATCATCACGTCAACTTGAACGGCATGTGAGTGACACATGATTGACACGTGGAGGACCAAACAGTTCTGCTGGTGTCAGAACACTTTTGCATCTTGGAACCACATTATGGTGGAAGAGAATGATCTACATAACGGCCTGGTGCTGGTTTGGACCGTACGGTCGATGGAACGAATGACAGGTGTTTTGGCTTTTGTTGAACACCATGCTCCATCTCCAATGCTGATTCAGCTGCCTGCTATAGGTTATGTGTCAAAGAAAGTTCTGAGAGACAGGCATGTGTGGAATGAGAGACGTCTGGCTAGACTGGCTTCAATCCTTGATGTGCCAGGGTTTATCATTCGGAGCGGTAATATTTTGTGACTAGCCGAGTCTCCTGAGATGGTTTGAATGACTGAGAAATGCTCCTTGACCAGCCATACGCAGAGACATACCTGTAAGCTGCTTGATGTGCATGTACTGTAGTCTAATGTTCCAAAGGTTACCCATAAAAGTGCTTTAAATACAGACCAGGGGGGTGTTTCACAAAGAATAAGATTGACTTTAAGTTGGACTTAAATATAGCAGGACAATCATGCCACTGGTTGCTCTCACCATTCTGATCTTTAGATAATATTTTTTCCTTCAATAATGAATTATCAAAAAATGTAAATTCTGTAGATTTGTTAACATGATTTGTACGTCCATCGAGAGACCAATGCCAGTAAAATGGTGAGAGTAAACGGTGGCATGAACGGCCTGCCATAGTAATGTCCAACTTAAAGTCGTTCTTGGTCTTTGTGAAACTACCTCCAGGGGTGGTGTTCTGAAAGCTATTAAAGTTACATGTAGGTATGTTGAATGTCATAACAAATTGAATCTCTCTGTTTTTTGCAATAAACAATGTACATGATGATGTACAATGTATGTGCAGAAATCAGGAGATGACGTGTTCTAATTTGGATTTATCAGGATATGTAATGTACATCTCTCAAACATAAAAGACAACACAGTTTTAAGAATACCATTCCTGATCAAATTTTTGTCATTACCTTCATAAAGAGAGAGAGAGAGAGAGGTGAAGATAGAGAAAGAGAGAGCGAGCGAGATAGAGAGAGACAAAGAGAGAGAGAGAGAGAGAGAGAGAGACAAAGAGAGAGAGAGAGAGAGAGAGAGAGAGAGGAAGAGATAAGGAAAGACCTAACCTACTATACAGCTTGTACATTTTTGAAATATATCTCATAGTAAATATTTTAAGAGGCAAAAACAAATTTCACTTTGTCACTTTATTTCTAACGCTCATGTTGATAGAAGTACTGTGTTTTTGCAGTAATTTCCAAAACCAATCAAGCTAGATAGAAATAGGACAATTTCTTTTATTTTACAAGAAATGTTGTTTTGGAAAAATGTCAATGCTCCTGAAATATTTGTATGTGTGCTGTACATGTGTACATTTTAACTATCCTTCACACATGTACATGTACAGTGTGTATCAAACTAAAGGTAATCATAATTCAGAGGTTTAATATTCCAAGCTAATTTACTTTGACACTTGTATATGTACATGTAGCTTAAAATGAAAGAGGAATTCCTCCGCTTTTCATTGATACTTTACTTGCAGCACTGATGACACACATGACCTAATACATAGTGGCCATGTTCAACGACAAAGAAATGAATCAGTTGTGACATCGATGAAAGAATTCATCTCAGCCTTTCATCCATTTACTCAAACTTACAAAATATGGAATTCATAGTTCATACCTGTTTTCTTCATCAACAATGTATTCAGTCATGTGGTACATCGGTGATGCAAGTGAGCTATCAATGGAAAGCTGAGGAATTACAGCCCTCTAAATTTGGATTACCTTTATGTTGATACACTGACACTGAGAACAAGGAAAGTGGCATCCCATTTGCCCATTCTTGGTCACTTTCTCAGCTCAAGTACTAAAAATTTACCCCAAAGTTAATGTATATTTTTATCTGGAACCCCCCCCCCCCCCCCCCCCAAAGTAAATGCATTCCATATGTTATGGTATGGTCACATTGATGCCACATAGTAAAATAATTTGTTTGAATATTATGTATATTTCAGATATCATTACAAGAAAACCCACTCAAGATATTAAGGCCTTTTCGATTGTGTTCCATGTTCAGGAAAAAGGACAACGTATTTGGTCACCATATAGTGGAATTTTCATGTTAATGAATACCGAATATATTATTTTCCTTCACAATCAGTCAGATCCAAGCTATTGTAGGGCCATCTATTTCATTCATCATCAAGTTCTTCACAAAACTTTGATGTACAGTGTATAAAAGGTAAAGTATGAGACATTCTGCCCTCTGTCACTTGGTTCTTACTTCTTAGTAGATCCATAGAAAATTTAATGTACATGTATGTCATTTAATGTATGCACATATCTAAGATGTGCTTCGTACACTTAACAGCCAATGATGTAAGGACGTACCAATGTGCAATTTTAAAGCGATGTATTTTTACTTTTTGTTTTAATTGTTCAAAATTTAATTTATGAAGGAGTAGATTCATTTCATGCAGGGGTTACATATACATGTACAGGTGTATGTAAAAACACATTTGCAATTATTATACAAGGTACACACATGTATGTATGGTGCAGGTATGATTAAACAAAATTCTTTAGAGAAAATGATTTTCTTTGTACTGCAGAGCAATGTATTATAACACCTTTTGATTGATCGTAAGGTTAATATTGAGCGTAAGTCTATGGCTCATCAAGTAATGATCAAACTCTCAAGTTTGATTAATACATGGGAGGGAACCTCACAAGATATGTAACATAGTTGCCAATTTGGTTTCATCGATTGCAACTTTAAAAAATTGGACTTCCTTATTTTTTATCGGATTTTTACTCAAACTTTCACTATTTTTTCTGCTTTTATTAAAACCAAATAAATATCAGGTTCGACCTCCCTTTAGATTTCATATTGGAATCATTTTATTTATGACAGGGACAGTAGATGTCTATCTTTGACCTTAAAGCGATACTGACTTGTGAACTTTCTGACCTTTCGTACTGTCAGTATTACACAGTGCCATCTCATGGTCGACTTGCCAAAAGTGTGTAACCCAATACATAATTTCTGAATTACGGGACGATATTGCTACAGCTTTTGTGGTAGTGCTTCGAGCACAGTGTGGCTTTAAAGAGCCCAAACCTTTCTTATACATTTACATGTACGTGGCTTCATGATTTTGACAGATTAGACTAATGTAATAACAGATTAGACTAATGTAATTATACCATTATACCAGTATGTTTTTGCACATTGTGGATATACAGTATATTGTAAATGTATTCATTAAGACGTTTGAACAGCCTGAAGATATTATTTAAAACCTACATCATGCACATTTTGTACAAATACCTTAAATTCATTTATTATATAAATGTTAGCAATAAAGGAACAAACGAAACATTTAGACAAAAATTGATTTTGTGTTTACTTTTGTGAATGTGGGCACTTATTTGTTTATGATTTCAAGTCAATCATGAATCTTTCAACCATTATTCATCTCCTTTGCACACTTTATTTATCTCCTTTTCATCCTTATATAGAAAAAAATAATGCTGGTTTAAATAAAAGGTATACCCAGCTTTGGTATATTCCCATTTAAAGGTTATAACCTGTGCGACCTTAAATTATATATAATTTTAAAGAGTAACAAATATTCTGTCTGATGGTCATTATTTATTTATCCTTTGCTGTCATGGATGATGGAGCAGCAACTTTAAAACAAAATCTGGTCAAAATCCTCTAGTACACAACTGTACCAAGTTTGGTCAGAAGCAATGAATTTGGAGGAAAAGCCCAATTATACGTCGTTATTTCGGTCCGAAAACAATTGCTGACTTAATTGCATTGACTTTGTGCCCTTGAATAGAAATGTTAACAATATCAACTCAGACTCCAGAAACATCTGATTAACAAGCAAAATTTGTGATATTAACTGTGGTGTGACACAATTTGGGTTCTTTCGCATCCCTCGTTAAATGTTATCCATAATGATCCGTTTCATTAAGTCATTCGAAATGGACAAAGTGTACTAGATCTAGGGATATTCTGTTTCTTTTAAATGAAAGTCTACTGTCAATATCTTTGGTAATTATCATCATGTCTTTCTTCCTTCATTTACTAAATCTAACCTTTCATATGCTTTTCGAGGCAAATACCTTATGCATTTCACGGACCTTATGCATGTGGAATGGTATAGTGGACAAGTAAGCAGATCGAGAGATCCTAGATATCAAGAGACAAGAAGGTGACTTCTAAAAATTCACCTTCACCACTAGTCTATAGGCCCTTTTCGTCTTAAAGCCCTTCTGTACTTGTTTGGCCAGGAGAAGTTAGACCACCCAGGGTGGTCACTGACAGGTGACTAACTCATCAACTCGGCTCTCAATTAACATAAGAAAAAGAGGATCATGGGGGACCAATGGTCACCGATTAGGCAATGTTTTCTATGTAGAGGGAGCAAAGAGCTATAAGTAGTACAGTGGGGCTTTAAACAAGACGCCTTGGCGAGTTTTAACAACTCGCCTTCTCGCCTTTTCGTCTTAAACAAGTCGCATTCTCGCTGCACGTTTAAGCTTCCGTACCATACCACATTATATTGTGAAGGATTTCAAACTACTCTATTAGGCATATTGGCATTAATGTAATTCTGCCATCTACGTCAGAAAATATTATTTCCCCCAAAAAGTTGATTCAATTCAATTCAAATTCACATTTATTCGGCAAAAGATAAAAAAATCAAAATGAAATCATTACAAATGAAATCATTATAAATACCGGGATTGCTAAAATAAGTTAAAAACTTGTAAAGAAGCAATCCCAAACATAAAAAACAAACATATACAATACAATACAATACGATGAAATTTGATACAATACAATTAAATACAATACAATAATAATAATGTTTTTTTAATTTTTTTTATTTATGTTTTTATTAAGAAATCAAATCATAACATATACAAACTTTCCCCAAAATACAAATGCTGTGCTACAAAAGAAATTAATGACAAATTAAGATATTTACAAACGATTGAGATGATCTGGGAAAAAAAGAAGAAGAAAAAAAAAAGGCAGAGTACACGTAATAGAACTAATCAGAATTATAACAATTACAAGTACAAAAGCAAGAACCTCGAGATAGCATTGCATCAGAAACAGAAAATTTTGTTGGGCCCAAAATGAAGAAAAAGGAGTAAAAATAAGCCATCGACAGGTACAATGGAAACTCCAGACCACCAACAGGTTGGATGAGCAAAGTCGAGGAATGAGACAATCCGCTCTACCTCCCCCCCCCCCCCCTCACACACACACCCTCAACACTCTAATACTAACACTCAAACACACAACCGCCCCTCCCCCATCCTCTCCCCCCCCCCCCCCCCCCCCCCCCCCCCCCCCAACACACACAATCCACACGCAACATGCGGGTAAGACAGATCGCCTCACACCCCGACCCCGCCCACTCCAGACACCCAGTCGGCGAATTGTGCAGACAGAGCGTGGGGAAATCAACTGAAGTGATAAAAATACAACGCATTCCTGTTTCCTGAATAGGCAATAA